CCCGTCGTTCCGCAGACCTTGACTTGCCAGCTTCGGAGCCACCGGTTCCATTGAAAAATACAGCATTTCGTGCGTTCGCTATCTCTCCACAACGCATTTTGTATTGCGCCTGCCACGAAATCTGCACATGGAGGTGCACAAAGTGCTGTGCCTCCCACGAAATCTGCACATGGAGGTTCACAAAGTGCTGCACCTGCCACGAAATCTGCGCATGGAGGTTCGCAAAGTGCTGTGCCTGCCACGAAATCTGCACATGGAGGTTCACAAAGTGCTGCACCTGCCACGAAATCTGCACCTGGAGCTGGAGTTGCCTGGAGCTTGAGCTGTTGAAACCAGAGCTGGTGTATGAGCGGTGTATGATGAGTGGTGTATGATGAGTAGTGTTTGATGAGTGGTGTATGATGACTGGTGTATGATGAGTGGTTTGTGATCAGTGGTGTATGATGAGTGGTGTATGATGAGTAGTGTATGATGAGTGGTGTGTGATGAGTGGTGTATGATGAGTGGTGTATGATGAGTGGTGTATGATGAGTGGTGTATGATGAGTAGTGTTTGATGAGTGGTGTATGATGACTGGTGTATGATGAGTGGTGTGTGATCAGTGGTGTATGATGAGTGGTGTATGATGAGTAGTGTATGATGATTGGTGTGTGATGAGTAGTGTTTGATGAGTGGTGCGTGATGAGTGGTGTATGATGAGTGGTGTATGATGAGTGGTGTATGATGACTGGTGTATGATGAGTGGTGTGTGATCAGTGGTGTATGATGAGTGGTGTATGATGAGTAGTGTATGATGAGTGGTGCGTGATGAGTGGTGTATGATGAGTGGTGTTTGATGAGTTGTGGTTGAACAGCTGTTGAATGTCCGTAACACGGAAGTTTTGCACACTAAACTTCCTTTGATAATAGTGAGTCACGACGTTCCCTTTTTGCTGGCAGCCCTGGCGGAATCCACTCAGCCTGGGTCCACGGCCCAAAGATCTACACGCGCAGGTGCCTAAGTCAAGGCCTCTGAGTGAGAAAGGCGCAGAGTTGATAAGAAAGAGAAGAATAGAGAAGGTGCTTGCATCCTTTAATAAAGGACCCTTTAAAGGAAAAAGATTGTGTTTGGGATAAAGGTCCGTGTCCTGGCTAAGACATGCCCGTTCACTCTTCCAAATCAACGAATGCAACTTTTCGACGCGCCGGAGTACGCATTGCAAACGTCAAACACTCCAAATGTAACAAGCACATATAATTGCTTCTTTTCAAACGCACGCCATACTCGCGCCAAGGTGCTTCTGCGCCCGCGGCGCGCTCGCGCGCCCACGTGGTATCCCACCACTCGAACTCAGACGGTATTTCCCCTTCGCTAACGCTGATGTCGCCTTCCAACTTCCATAAGATGCATACCTTCCTGCGTGTGACAAACACATGCCATTGCCTTGAGATGATGACCTACACCAACATACAACGTATCGCATTTCTCAAGCAACTACTACTGCCAAATTTATCCCAAAGCCGCCCGGCTTGCTTCTCTGCTCCCTCCATCACCATTACATACGCAACCCCGCATCCGCGGCACCGCTGACTCGCAAGCTGCCGACCATGTGTCTTGCGCCGCGACGCCCGCCAGAAAAAGAGACACTCGTGTGGCGGCTGCTGGCTTTCGTCCCCCCCTTCTCAGCTCTTTCTTTCCTTCTTTCTGTCTTTTTGTCTTTCTTTCTTTCTTTCTTTCTTTCTTTCTTTCTTTCTTTCTTCTTCCCTCCTTTCTTTGTTTGACCTTTAAGTGTAACATTTTCTTCTTTAGGCCTTTCCTGATTGGGAAAGGAGGCAAGTATTTTTCCTGGCTCTTCTTCCTTTCGTTCTCTCAAGGCCTTTCATGACTCTTCCGTTAAGTTGAGTTTCCCTAAAATCTTTTCAGGCAGATCTACCTTGTCATCATGTCCTCAGTACACTACGAGGAGATCTGCATGGCATGGCAACCACATCGTTCCTTGCAGATAGCTTCTCGTGGCATCCGACCGTTGTAGCATCCGGCCTCAGGAGTGTGTCCACAAAATCCTGAAGCTCAACATCGCAGAGGGCCAGGAGAAGGAGGTGCAAAGTTGTTGCAGTGCTTGCAATTCACGTTTTTTGCATTGTCATTTTTGGTGAGGGAAACAGCGAGCCCGGGAATCATGCGCTTGAGATCACGTGAGGTGTGCACCATGCTTATTGACTGCTGTGCCATGGAGAAGATGTTCAATAGGTGTGCTATGGCCAGCTGGGAGAAGAGCGACAGCTAACAATGTGAGGAATTTGTATCAAGTCTTTATGCACGGGACATCATTGATCAGGAAACCCATAGAAGACAAAGAGATACATTTGTTGCAATCTATTCCGTTCATTCTTGCCAGCGATCAGCAGCCGTTCCAGGAATGCTTCTCATTCCAGGTATTTTGCATGCTTGCCATGAATGAACATGCATTTGGGCCAACATCGTTCTGGCAAAAGTACCGTCGAAGACCATATTGCTAGGAGCACCTTCCTGACATATTCCCTACGTTTTGTGTGTAAAGTTTGTGGCCGCCGTGACAGGTTCTTCGTACTACAGGCGCGGGGCTGCAAAAAGGGCTGCAAAATCAGCAACTAGGAAGAGCCGAGTGAAGAGAGATGAAGATCGAAAAGCAGAAACTCACGTGAGCAACAAAACCCAAACAACTCATTTGTCATAATGTTTTTTTGTTTTTCGCGTTTTCAACTGCAGACCTTTCTGCCTTAGTACGTTTATTTTTCTTGAGAAGTTTCTATGTTTCCATTTTACAATTCCTTTTAGACCTACATGACGTTCTTTCTGCCTTCCCCGATCTTTTTGAAAACTTTCACAAGTGAGTGTTAAAAATATATATATATATATCAATTTGCTAAGTTTCCAAAAAAAACTAGGAACCAAATGATTAGTGCGTGAGCTGTCCTGCGTCCAGTTACTAGTAGCTTCCAAGTTAGGAGCGAACAAGTTTCTCCCTTCCTGAATTAAGTAGGCGCCTACCTACTTGATTAAGTATGGGCGGGCTAAAAAGGAACACAGATTAAGAGATACAGCTCAAAGTCAAACATTGACCTCTCAATGACCTCTGTAGACTCTGGCGTTGCAGGCAGAGCGCCTTTGTCGCTTGAATCCTGTGTACCAGGAGCACACGATAGCAGAAGATCGTTTTGAGACATCGCGCTTTTGGTATGCAGATCTTGAGATTTATGCTACACCAAGCAAGATGCAACGATATCTGCAAATGTAATGATTGATACTACTAGGAACAAGAAGCTACTAGGGGCTCCTGGCCTTACTACCAGGAGCAAGGACGCTACTAGGGGCTCCTGGCATCGCTACTAGGGGCATTCTTACTGCTGAATGGTCGAAGTTCACTCTCGCAGGACAACTTCACAGAAAGTTTCGGCGTTCAATTCAACACCGTGCACAGGTGGAGGGCCGAATTGGGAGAATGAACAGACCAATTACTAGCTAGAGGCCATCGCTACTAGGTGGAGGCCATCGCTACTAGATTGGTTAGGCGCAATAGGCTGATTCCGTGCAGCGTTCGTCAGGTTAGAAACCAACAAGTTGAGGAACATCGGGAAGTTCTTCGCTCATCTTCTCTATACGGAGCGAGTTGGGGAATGTGTAATCTGACAAAAGCCGACTTGCTGTGCTTGTGGACTTGACAATCCACAAAAATACACTCTTGTTTCGTTCTTTACCCTTTTCTTCAGACTCCTTTGCCTTTCTTTCCTCCTTGAGAGTCTTTAGAGTCTCCCCTTACCGTGAAAGTCTTGTTGGATTCGGGGGATGTGCCCGCTTTGGATTTCCGGTGGAATGCTCGCAATGTCCCGCAGGATGCTATCCCATGGAGTATTTGGGCACAGGCGGCACTGGGGCAACGGTAGTTACATGTCTTCCTTTCTTTGGCGAGCCAGGCCTTTCTTCGGTTTCATCACGATTTGCGCAGTCTAAACGTGATAAAAGTCTTGAAGAGGCTCGCCCACTCACGTTAAGGTTCCAATGGGACACCTTCCCCTATACGTAAGTAAGTAGGTCTTTGGTCTTGGGCGAACCTCTCTTTAAAAGTCTTTGTACAAAAAACATATGCATTCTTTCCACAAAGCGCTTTGTCTTGAGCTTGCTTCCTTTTCAGACGCAAGGCTCTAGTAGAGCAAAAGCCGAAAAGTCTTTGCATCCCATTTATGTATTTGCATCGTGGCTGTGAGCAACAGGTGAAGATCACTGAGGAGACCACGACCTCCAGCTCGCGTATCTTCATTAAGGCACCTTTGGCAAACGAAAGTCGCTTCGTACTGGCAAGGACGCTACTAGGAACAAGTGCATCGCTTCTAGTAACAAGTGCCTTACTAGTAGTAACAAGAAGCTAGTAGAAACAATAATTAGTAATTAGAACCAATAATTAGTATTAGTAATTAGAATTAAGTTTAATTAGAATTCAATAGGCCAACACCAAACCTCAGTCACTCAAGGTCGCTACAATATATAAATTAGAACTTAATTAGAATTAGCTTAAAACTAGTAGTAAAGAAGGCTACTAGGACCTTTTCGCGCGCGCGCGCGCCGGGGGGGGGTAGGAGCAAGGACGCTACTAGGAGTAAAGGGCATCGCTACTAGGGGCGCCTGGCGGTACTACTAGGAGCAAGAAGCTACTTTGTAGGTCCAAGTGGTATTCTTTAGCAAAAAATCAATATATAAGAATGCTCCTAGTTGTGATGCCAGGAGACCCTAGTAGCGTCCTTGCTCTTAGTAGTAAGGCCAGGAGCCCCTAGTAGCATCTTGTTACTAGCAGTAAGGCCAGGAGCCCCTAGTAGTGTCCTTGCTCCTCTTACCCTCTGTTTCTCCTTGTCAATGTTTTCTTGTTACTAGTAGCGATGGCCTCCAACCTAATAATAGCGATGGCCTCCTTCTAGTAGCGTCCTTGTTACTACAGGGAAAACAATTCCCAGTGAAACGATTTTGAAGGAAGGCTGTTGCTACTTTGATTATTTCAACAGATAATGTATCAAGTGTTACGATTGTGTCAGGTGATCTTTCAGGAGCTCTCTGAACAGCCGGTGCCTAAGGAAGGGAACAATGCTTGTCACAGAATCATAAACATGACATTGAAGGAAGGTAAGGTCTCCTTTAGATGGGACCTTAATTACCCTCCTTTTGGCATCTCTTATTCTTCTTTTATTCCCTTTTAAACCTTATCATTTTGTTTTCTTTGCTTTTGTGTACAGTGCTTGAAAGAGAGAGCTGCAGGTGGGGCATCAAAAAGCTCGTCGATCGGCTCCGTGAAGAAGAGTTGAAGCCTTTCTTCGTGGGGCTTTTCCCCAAGGACAGACCTCGAACCATGAGTGGCGTTCAATGAAACTCTGAGATATCAAACTTGCATTGAACTATGTCTCGTGGCCACCTGGTCAATTTCACTCGTGGCCCGAGTCATTCGGAGCCAGTTTTGATGCATCAAAAGCACACCAATCTGAGGCTCAGGGACCTCTTACAACTTGCTATTGCTTGATCATTTGGGCTTCATGGTTCATGTGGAAGATCACAAAGGGTATGAAAATAGCTTCAGTATATATGCCCTTTCCGAGACATGATGCCACAACGAACAACGAATGGACTCGAAAACGTCAACCAGAAAGGACCATCCAAAGAACGTGCGCTTCGCCATCAACTATTTCACGGCAATTGGTTTGGGCGTTCTCACGGAGGAGCGGCGGAAGCGTGAAACAGTTGACATGTGTTTTTTTTCAAAAAAGAACCTCCAAATAGCTACTAGTAGCTTCTTGTTACTAGTAGTAATGCCCTTGTTACTGGTAGCGATGCCCTTGGTGGCGGAAAAAGAGGACATAAAAGGCGGAAGAAGCGCCAGTTCTCCATTTCCTAAGACGAACTTCTTAGGTTGGAGGCCATCGCGAGCAGGTTGGAGGGAAGTCGCATCCAAAGAAACGTGATCGGAAGTGATGGTTCTCGATTTCATCCAACATCTCTCTCAGGACCTGCGCTCCTTCCTGGAACAAGCAAACGCACAAGCAGCCGAAGACGCCCAGAAGGCAGCTTCGGCCTCTCTCTCTCTGAAGTCTTGACTGACATGTTTGAGCAAATCACCATCAGGCGATTGCAGGCGATTGCAAACAAATGAAGGCGATGTCATGTGACAGCCATTCCTTGAGCCATTCCTAGGGGCTCCTGGCCTTACTGCTCGTAACAAGAAGCTACTAGATTGAGAAATGTTAACCAGATGCCGTGCTTGTCACAGGCGGCAGCGGAGAGGGCTATGGAAGTATCTTGACTGTGAAGGGTTGTACGGTGGTACTACACCATGTACTAAATGGATCCAAAGGCCTTAGGCCATGGACTTGACTATTCTATGAACGAGAATGATGTAATTATCACTTTTATGAGTGACAACATTATTATCGCTATAATGTTGAGACGATGTTTTGACGACTTGCAGACTTTTGAGCCTCAAGGCCAAGATCACCTTTTAAGAAAAGCCTTGCTGTAAGTCTGACTTTTTCGACTACTAGTAGCAAATAGCTACTAGTAGCTTCTGGAAAACTAGTAATGGCCTCCAACCGAGAAGCAATGGCCTCCAACCTAGTAGTTTTTTGTCTTCGTAAGGAGGAATCCTCCTCTTCGTCCTCTTCAAGCTCCGATTCGAGCGACTCGGACAGCGACTCCGATGACGACGATAGCGACGATAGTGACAGCTCCGATAGCGACTCGTCGAGCTCTGACTCCGATTGAGCTGGTGCATGAAAAGCGCCGATTCTTGCGGAAGAGAAGGAAGAGCACACGAAGTGCAGACGAAGCAAAGGAAAGGAAGAAAGAAAGGTTGTAAGAAAACCGTCTAGAGTCTTAAAAAAAAACTAAAGCAATCAACAGGTCTAAAGAAGATTCGTTTCTGACTGAAACTGAATCGACACAGAGGATGAGTCATGGGTACATGTGACAGAAATGTGATAAGAGTCATCTGGGGCCAATGCAGAAATGAGAAGTGGCCGATGGCAGTCAGGCAGTCATTGGTCGAAACTTGCTTCATCTTGGGGCTCGCAGCTGCTTGAACATACTTGACACATCAGCAGTCAAAAGCTGGAATTGACCGTTTTCCATGACATGCCCATCAAACACGATGATTGTCCGTTGGTGAAGAGCTCGAAGCTAGTTTTTGAAGAAGGATGTGGTTGTCCGACGGTGTTCCTACAAGGAGCCGCTGTGCGGCAAGCGGCCTGCGTTGAATCGTTTGGGCAAGCTGCACTGCGCCACTGCGCCACTGCGCCACTGCGCTGTGCTGTATGTTCCGATGGCGAAACGACCAGTGGAGTCGGAGTCTGAGGAGATGCAGGAGCTGCACACACTTGAGAGCCGCCTGATGAAGCGTGTAAGCTTCCATGCTTCAAATTGTCAGGTCGTTCGAGACGCTGATTTCTGAAATCTATGTCTCATTATGTCTCTGCAGGAAATGCTTCCAGATCTCAAGCTATGCCCAAAGCGGCTTCGGGGATTGAAGCAGAGCCTCATCCAGAAGGTCAATGAGGCACCAAAGACGCTACTAGTGGCTAGGGCATTACTCCTAGTGGCAAGAAGCTACCTGTAGGCAGGTGCATCGCTACTAGTAGCAAGGACGCTACTAGTAGCTAAGTGCCTTACTACTAGACGCACAAAACAACCAACCCCATTCTTAACACCGTGGCCGCCATGGCCTCCCAAAGACGGGCTAGACTCTAGACGAATCCTGCAAGTTCGAAGTTGCCGAATACTTTGGATGTTTCGTTCGTTCTTTTTGATTGGTATGTTACACATGTGTCTCTCTTTTTTAGACCTTTAGACCTTGCCGTTTTTCACTTCTTTTTCTCTACTTAGATGGCGACTTCGACTGTTAGGACTACTTTGCGATGCTGAAAGACCATCATCGAAATGAGTTCTACTGGAATGCTATGGCAAACGTCGGCAGACATCGTGTCTTGGACATTGGTGCTGGCACAGGGCTCCTCTCATTGATGGCGGCCAAGAGAGGTGCCACGGTTCTCAGTGTGGAGGAAAGTGCAGACATGGCAGAGCTGGTGCGAGAAAGTGCTCGACACAATGGTCTGGACCGGAGATAAGAAGTTGCGTCATCTTGTGTTGAGTTCTATGTGGTTCAGGATGGTGATGTTCTAATGTTTGTTCTTTGTTCCTAGTAGCGTCCTTGTTCCTAGTTAGTAAGGCCAGGAGCTACTAGTAGCGTCCTTGCTCCGTTCGTAGCGATGCAGATTGTTTCTAATAGCGTCCTGGTTCCTAGTGGCTGCAACCCACCCGCAGGAGCAGAGCATCCGCGTCCTTGACGGTCACAGCACCGCCATCGACCTTCCAGATGAGGAGAGAACGAGAAGCTTCTTGTTTCTACTAGTAACAGGTGCCACGCTAGTAGTAACAGGTGCCTTACTAGTAGTAACAAGAAGCTATTAGACTTAAATTTAATGTTAAATTAATAGCTTCTTGTTACTACTAGCTTCTTGTTACTACTAGTAAGGCACTTGTTACTACTAGTGTTGCATGTTGTTGCTTCTTTTTTGCTGGCCGAGTAGGGGGGGGCATTGGACAATGCTGCGTTGATGTGCATCAATGCGTATCAGCTCAGGAGAAGGCTGATCTCATCGTCTCAGAGACCTTTGGTGTGCTGTTGCTCCAGGCTTTCTTCTGAGTTCGAGTTTGTAGCCAATGTAGCCAGTAGCAAGCCACACTACTAGCAATGGCCTCCAACCCACTAGCAATGGCCTCCAATGTAGCCAATAGCAAGCTACAGCAAGCAGTTGTGTATACCTTGTTACTCAAAACGTATTTGAAGGATGTATCCATGCAAACGTGGGACTGTGATCACTTGGATAACTTGGCTTGCCATTTCAACTTTTTGGGGTTCAAAACAATACTTAGGTGTTTGGATGAACATGTTTTGTTCAAGGTCTTTGGTTAGTTTGAAACCTTCAAAGCAAGAGACCACACTTTGATCTTCATCTCTTTTTCAGTGAGCTAAATGTCTCATTCTTCCTTTTCCTGGATGGGGCTGCCATGGAACCACCCCTTTCTGACATCACGGCGCACCGCGCACTGCTTGAGCACTGCAGGAAGGCTGTTTGCGGAGCTTCGTCCATGGCCGCGAACGTCTGCTGCTGCCGTGCACGCCGTTCGCGGCGTCGGTCCCGGCGGTGGTGCCGTGTGGCGGCGCCCAGGCCGCGCGGCTCCTGGGCTCGGCGCAGCTGCGGAAGGCCGGAGGGCCAGCAGAGCAAGGAAAAACGAGAAAGAAGAGAATCCTACCTAATAGCGATGGTCTCCACCTTGTAGCTTCTTGTTACACGCAGAAGAAACCCAAAAAGGTATGAAAAAGGTCTAAACGGAAAAGAAGAAAAGAAAGGCCACGGGCGGAGCTGTACCAGCCGAGCTGCGACACATGGCTCGATGGCGAGACACAGGAGAGGACGAGAAAGACCGAGAGATGAGATGACGAGAGGATTGTACGTGAAATAGCGTCCATTGCTCCTAGTAGCGATGCCCTTTGCTCCTAATAGCATTCTTGCTCCTAGTAGCGATGCCAGGAGCCCCTACTAGCTTCTTGCTCCTAGTAGTAAACCCAAAGGCTAGCTACCGTGACTTCTCTTTGAGCTTTAATTGAAGTTTTTGGGTGTTTCTTGGGTGTTGAAGTTTGATGAAGACTTTGCTGTTTGCATTTGCTATCTAGCAGCAGTCACCTTACCCTCACTCACTTGCAAGAACACCGATTGCGTGGAAGTTTTACAACTATTTCCGCTCGGTCCTTAGGTTTGGAGTTCCCAGTGAAGATGCTCTCCAGGCATATGATGGGTTCTTTTTTAGGGCCATGGCTATTAGGGAGGCCCTCGCTTGTAGGTTGGAGGCCATTGCCAGATGGGAGGGCAAGGATTAAGGGAACTTCTCCAGAATCCATTCTTCCGGGATCAGGTTTCCATCGTTCAAGTGCTTTGCATACGTGCAATCAATTTGATGTACCTGGCCTTCGGCACACCGGCACACATTGTCAGGACGTGTGCATTTCTCTGCGCCGGGTGGCTTCTGTGCAACCTGGCAACTGTGCACTGAAGTGCAACATATGTTGGCTCAGCGTGTAGGACAATAGTGAAGTTAGTGAAAGAAAGAAAAAAAGAGTTAAGTCTAAGCAATGACGCTACTAGTAGCAAAGGGCATCGCTACTAGGAGCAAGAAGCTGCTAGTAGCTCCTGGCATTACTACTAGTAACAAGAAGCTACTAGTAAAGTGCATATTAGTTAAGTGTCCCCAAACATCTGGGAGCCAAATGAATAGCACAAGGGCTTTTTCAAGAAAGCATGAGCTTTCCCGCTACTTACCTTCAACTACTATGGTGTACCCCCTAAAAAGAGGAGTGAATCTTGGGTCAATGTGCGGCCAATGAGGTAAATGCCATAGATGATGCACTGTGGATGTCAGATCGCTTGTACATATTGGAGGCAGAATCGGCAGTTTTTGGAGTACTGTTAAACATGGCAATTTCTTTGAGTAGACTTGTTGCAAAATGTTGAAAATGATCAGTTGGACTATCACTTAGATCCATTGCTTTTCTCAGGTGGATTTCACCTCATCGTCACTCAGTGATATCCCCTCCTCTCGTGTCGGCCTCGCTCAATTCTTGAAGGTGCTTCTGTGAAGTCCGTGGAACACTTTGCTGAGGCGAGTTCGTTCTGCATGCTTTGCAAGATGGATATGTCGATGCTGCAAGGGACTGAGTAATGAGCATTGCTGGGGTGCCTGGAAGTCGTACTTTGAAAACAAACCTCTAGTAGCGTCCTGGCTACTAGTAGAAATGCCCTTTGCTACTAGTAGCTTCTTGTTACTAGTAGTAAGGCCAGGAGCTACTAGTAGCGTCCTTCCTTGCTCCTAGTAGCGATTGTTCACAAGAGCAAGGCCAGGTCTAAAGGTCTTAAGAACAAGAGAAAGGTAAAAAGGAGAGACAAGACAAGAAAAAACACAAGTGTACACGGAAGAATGATAACGAAAAGGCGATTGCATTGTGTCTTTACACAAACATGTGTTTGAGGTGGTGCTCTCTTGGGAGGTTTGGGCTGATAAGGCCCCATCAGAATCTGCCTTGCTCGATCTTGAAGCCTGAGATTTCTCTCTTTTCAGTTTTCCTGTCCTTCCCTTTATTCTTCTTTGAAGGCCATCGCTCTTAGGTTGGAGGCCATCGCTAGTAGGTTGGAGGCCCTCGCTATTAGGTTTAAAGATGTTTAAAGAAAGAGACACTAAACAAATGTGTCCTTTTCTTTAGACCTTTTGACCCTGCTCTTTTCTTCGTTTCTTCCTTCCCTTCCTTCTCTACAGGAGAAGTCTCTCAAGTTGACCACCCATGCTGAGGATACCAAGGACTCGAACATTTGCAGCCGTTTTGCCAAGAGAACTATCCTCGCTACAGGGCCAGGAACGCTAGAACTCACTCACATTGGCATCATGGTATTGAACCGTCTCACAGTTTGTTTGACCTTCAGGAGTTGAACTCAATTTGAATCTGCAGAATGTTGAGGACAAACCGTGGGGCTTTTCTCGAGACGCTCATTGGGGGCAGGGCTTTCAGGCACGGTAGCTGCCTGGCAGCGTGCATCTTGCGGGCATCCTGTGCGTTTTTGCACCGAGTGTTGTTCACTTGGCGAGTTAGAGAAGGTCGAAAGACCTGAGGAAGAAAGGAAGATGGTTTGAATGTCTTTTGAAGGAGAAAGGAAAAGAAACAAGTCTCAATTACGCCCTACGTGCTTTTCTGCAGTTCTTGGAGAGCAATGAGAGCCTCGCGAGCGCTTTCTATGTAACGGCCGGGGAGGAGCTGCGCCTCACTGTACGTTGCTCGGCTTCGGAACTCATGTTGGATATGTGACTTCACACTGCACATTCGTCTTCATCGCTATTAGGTTTGAGGCCATCGCTCTTAGGGTTGGAGGCCATCGCTAGTAATTAGGTTAAAGACAACATCACATAGTGTCCTTTTTTCTGTTCAGCCGTTCTTCGGATGTTAGACTTGTCCTATTGTTTTTGTTTTCTCGTTTACTTTCGTTGGAGCGGTAGGTTGTAGGCCGACTTAAGTATTGGAGAAACTTAGCATGTGAAAGAATGACTTCTTTCTGTCCTTCATCTTTGCAAGAATGCCTCCATGTTGTCTTGTGAACTCTTCGGGTCTTGGAAGTAGTAGTGTCCTTTGCTCCTAGTAGTAAGGCCAGGAGCCCCTAGTAGCGATGCCCTTTGTTCCTAGTAGCGCAAGCAAAGCTGTGATTCAACAAGATGCTGTACCACTTGAGCCTTCACGGGAAAGCCACTCAAGCCGAGGTTGGGCGGATGATGGTAGCAGCTGCCAATGCTCTGTGGCTCGTGATAGCAACGTTGCATGGATTCGCATTCCGTTTTTTTCTAAGGATACGACGTTCTCATTCGGGCAGCCTGGGCTTGCAGGTACCTGCATTTGCAGAAACACACATGATCTGCATCAATTCAGAAGAAACGCTCCCGAACAAGTACAACCGCTCCTGTCCTTTTGTCCCCTGGTCTCCTGGCAGTCTCCTGGTCTCCTGCTCCTTTGGTTCTCCAGCCTATGAGACCATGGCATTCAAACAGAATGCAAAGCTGCACATGGCACATTGTCTTCGATAAAGACTTATCTGCTTTAAAACAAATGAACTACACGGGACTTGGATGGGCGCGCAGGGATCTTGCTAAGACCAAGACCTGGCCCATTTCCGTGCAGTAAAGCTCACCCACTTTGTGCCTTTTAGTTTCCATACTGACCTTTATGACCCTTGTTACTAGTAGCTTCTATCTACTAGTAGCGATGGCCTCCAACCCTAAGAGCGATGGCCTCCAACCTAGTAGCTTCTTGTTACCAGTATGGCATACTGGTTTGCAGGTCCTTGATGGAAGTTCCGCAGTTTCAAGTTGAATTCCGACTGTTCGACTGCCCCTTTGCCCGTATACAGTATGATGATGTATGATGGTGTTGGGTGTTGGACTTCCCGTCCCCCATTCCTAGTCTTAGCGAAAATGTGTTCTCTTTAATGTCACATGCGGCACACGTTTTGAGGTTCCTTTGCACATCCAGCAGCACCAAGACGACCAAGCGGAAGCCGCGGAAGCCACGGCGACGGTCCCACCCGCTCTCCCACAGGCGCCGGTGGTTCCAGCTTCGTGCGGCGCGGCTGTGGGTGTCAAGCCCTTTGAGCCGTTGTGGTTGGAAGAGGCCGCGATCCCGTTGCTGTGCGACGCAGAGGCCGGGGGCCCGGGTCGGAGCCGAAGGGGGTCTGACCCCCGCGGCGTGTGCGATCTGCCAAGCGTGTGAGCAGAAGAGCAGCAGAGAGGGAATGAAAGGCACAGTTTTATTCCAACTCCAACCGGCTAGCGGTGGCCTCTAACCTAATAACAAAGGCAATGTTTTCAAGAGGTCGTGCTAGAGAAGATGACACGTGAGATTTGAGGCTGGTGATTTTATCATCGACCGCCGGCTATACGAGGAAGATCTTCCAGCAAACTTTTTGTGCAATCCGAACTTGAAAGGCTCCCGAAGCATCTTCGTGCAGACGCTGAATGACGATTACTTTGCCTTTCTCAACCATGAAAAACGTTTGAACTTCTTCCATTCCGCCATCAAGGCAATGATGTCGAGATGGCAAATCGGAACTGCAAACACCCACAGAGCTCCTAAAGTCTTGGACTTGGGATGTGGTGCTGGGCAACTGTCCGTGTTGGCCAACCAGATGGGGGCGTCTGTCGTAGCCGTTGAAGCCTCCAGCGAATTCTGCCACATCGCTGAAGAGACTTTTCAGAACGCAGGTTTCAATGGTGGCAATGCTGGAAATCAGGTACAGATGATCCATGCCTTGAGTTGCTGCGTGGAGTTTGATGAGAAGATGGATGTGATTCTTTGTGAACCTTATGACATTTTTCTCACAGGTCACGGGCCAAAAGGATGTGTTGAAAGTTTACCTATGTGTTGTTCTTCCGTTCTTCCATATTCTTCCATTCGTTAGACCATCCTTTCCTTGAGACCTCAGACCTTCCTTTCGCGTGTTCGTTTGTCTTTAGCCCCTTCAAGCCCGCGCATGGGACCCGTCCGGAGAGGCCTCCCACCAAGCCCCAAGCCCGAAGAAATTGTGGCAAATCCCAAACTGGAGGTTGGTCAAGTTCATACGAACAGCGGAAGAGAATGAAAACAAACTATGAAATGGATGTATTCGGTTCTGTTGTTTTTCATGTTGACAGGTGATGGCGGGTCTGGCAGCCTCGATTACCTCATCGATGCACGGCAACGTTTGGCGGTGAAGGCCGAGGTCATCCCTTCAGGCGGTGCACAGTTTGCTCGGCTACTAGCGTCCTTGTTACTACTAGCGTGGCACTTGTTACTAGGTAGCTTCTTGTTACTAGCAGTAAGGCACTTGTTCCTAGTAGCCTTCAGGCGGTGCACAGTTTGCTCGGCTACTGATGTCCTCAGAGCTGGGAATGAGATCCATGGATCGAAGTGTCTCCGATATCTCCTTGAAGAATCTCGGAAGGTCACTGGTCATTCGACAGAATCCAAGGCTTCTCGTTTTTTCGATTTTCGTTCGGTTCAACCAGGCTTCTCTCTTCTTGTTTCATGTTTCACAACCCGTGCTTGCTTTATATAGTTTTCCTTTGGAGGCCACTACTAAGAGATCGGTTTCGCTTTGTGAGCCGATTTGCACTGCATATCTTGCCGAGGCTGGTGGATTCGGTGAGCTTGGTGTCGTCACGGAAGAAGGGTTTTCGCTGGAGTCGTTTGCCGGATTTGGTGCTGATGTCCAAACGAGTGCAGCTCTTCGAATTGGATTTCCAAACGATGCAGAGGAAGGACATCCCACGAAAAAGAAGCCTGGAGATTGAATGCCTCCAAGATGGATTTGTGGACGCGGTGGTCACTTCTTGGGAGGCGCACAGCGACGCATACTCGTTCTTGTTCTTTGTTCTTCGCTTCTAATAGCGATGGCCTCCAACCTATTGTTTGTTAAGCAGACGGCAGCGGACAAGCGACGGCCTATGGCTCTTTGAGATTCCGCTTTGGAGCCTTGTCAGGTTTGGGCAGGCCCCAACCGGGAGCATAGATTTGAAACTCATGCTGAGGAGCAGACAAGCGTGTCAGGTTCATGCCAAGGTTTGTTTGGGCTCTGTGCACTTTGGAGCAAGAAGCTACTAGTAACAAGGATGCTATTAGGTGGAGGCCATCGCAAGTAGGTTGGAGGCCATCGCTACTAGGAACAAGGACGCCACTAGGGGCTCCTGCCATCGCTACTAGGAGCAAGAATCTACTAGTAACAAGGGCATCGCTTCTAGTAACAAGTGCCTTGCTAGTAACAAGGACGCTAGCAGTAACACTGAGAAGATGAAACTCACTCTGTCTCAGGAGACACGAGACGACGGAGCTTGGAGCTTCAACAATGACGTTGGAACCTCAGAAGTCGCCGCCTTTTGAAACGAACGAGTCAAGGCGATGGTCCCTTCTGTTGGAGGTTAGTCTGTTGGACATGGACATTTGCCACTTACAAGTTTTCTGCACCTTTGGTTGTCACGGTGGCTTTCGCAAAGACACAAACTAGGAGCAATGGGCCCCCAGCCTACTAGCGATGGCCTCCAACCTAGAAGCCCTTGAGAAGCCTTGAGGTGGTCTTTGGTCAAGGACTTCAATTGATCCTGGAGGAAGGTGCGAAGGGGCCAAGAGGGGCCAAGAGGGGCCAAGGAAACCAAGACCTCACGGACCCAGGTCGTTTCTGGACAAGATGAGAAGATCACGGCTTAGCCGCAGAACTTTGCAGAGCACTGTAGGAACCATTTACCACAGTTACTTCGCATTTGCCATACTCCTTGTGTAGCATCATGCGAAGCATGCGAATCATGTTCACGCGTTATGTTGAATTCGGTCGCTGTAAGCTGTCCAGCATGTCGGGTTGCAAGGACGCTACTAGGAACAAGGACGATACTAGGGGCTCCTGGCCTTACTACTAGGAGCAAGAAGCTACTAGGGGCTCCTAGTGTTTGGTTGCGAACGAGATTGGCTCAAAGCATTGCGAGCCCGACTTGGCGTCGGGCCGTCGGGCCGTTGGGCCGCCGGTCTCTGGGTGTTTCTTTGACAACACGGTCAACAGACTCCGATATGTACCAGATGGTACTCTGGACTGACTCAGCAGCAGAAACGAATACCTAATAACAAACATATGCAAACACAAGCAACAAGCATCGGAAGTCTCTTTGCTACACCTCCTTGAAACCACGGCAAACATTGGTGTGCCATGGCTTCAACCACCATGGCAGTCACTACGGCTCCAGAAGAGGAGAAACTGCCAAGCCTATGGTATGTTGGAATAGGCCGGAAGACAATTTTGACAGATGACACAACGGATGGAACTCGATATCCTGTCCGGTTTCATGGAACCATTGGTCCAAGTTCACTGTTTCCCAAGTAACATTGCTCTGTCCAAGTGGGTAGCAGATGGAAGCAACAAGCCAGAAAGATGACTCAAACATAATCTGCGCTCTTTCTTCCTGATGTCTCTTCTCAGTCTTGGACAACGCCGATGGCAGGTTTGCAGATATTCTCAAGCATGTGTGGAACCGCTGGAAAGATCTTCGTTCGGCTGTCAAGCCTTCAGAAGACAAAGCATCCACTGATGTCAAAAATACTGCTGACTGGATTATATTTCATCAGATGTTTTCTTTGTTTGAGCTTAAAAACTCTGGAGAGACCCACACCACAGAATCGGGTATGATTTCATTACTTGATAATTTGTGGTCTTGTTTTAATGGGACATGGACGGACATGGATCAACCTACTAGTGATGGCCTCCAACCTACTAGACATGGATGGACACGGATAGATTTAAAGATCTACTAAAACCGTCCTTGCTCCGTTCGTAGCGTCCTTGTTCCTAGTAGTAAGGCCAGAGCGCCCCTAGTAGCGATGCCCGAAATGCTCCGTTCGTAGCATCCTTCAGTGACCGAGGTTTCGTGTTGGCCTAGTGACCAACACCGCCGTGGGCCCTTTGATCGACGTCTCGGCCTATAGCTTCGCACCACAGTCCTTGGTCGCGCCTTTTGGAGGCCGTTGGGTGGTTGTGTGGAAAGCAAGCACCGTGGTGTTGTTTCTCCTTTGCTGTTCTTTGGAATTAAATTCAATTCAACTCTTGGAAAGTTAACTTCAATTCGCTTGCTTTTAACCTCAACAAGCATGTCGATGTCCAATCAATGAATTACCTACAGTTCTCTGATTGTTTCAGTTTTCGAACACATTCTGTTCGAACCTTTCAATAGGTACTTTCTTTTTTCAAGTGGTCAACCTTACCACTGACCATCACTGACCACTGACCGAACAGGTTTGGACGTGGTGTGGAATGCTCTTTTGGCACCTTTCATTCTCAATGAGAAGCTCACAAGGCAGGTGAACCGGCAACCGGGCGGGGGCAGGGGAGTCTCTGAGACCTGTAGAACTTGTTACTAATAGCTTCTTAGCTACTAGTAGTAAGGCCAGGAGCTACTAGTAGCGTCCTTGCTCCTAGTAGCGATGCCTTTTGCTCCTAGTAGCTTCTTGCCACGAGTAGCGATGCACTTGTGACTAGTAGTGGGTCAGCAGACATGCAAACTTTTGACGTTCTCAATTTGCCTTGCCAGACACCGTGCTGTGGGAAGCGCGCTAGTGATGACCGGAAGCATTGGCTCCGCATGCTTCGGAAATCAGGAGGACTGCAACGGGATTTGGTTCCAAATTGCTGGTCAAACAGCTGGTGAAAGCAGGACATGTTTCGGGATGTTGTTTTTCCTAAAAAGTAAGACATCGAAAACCTAGTTTTGCTTCAACGAAGTGTGCTGGCAGAAACACCTATATAGTTAGACAACAGGAAAATGCCTTCTTTCTTTTTTTCCTATTTGTTCGTTGGACATTTAGACCGTCTTTTCTCTTTCGCCCTTCCTAAATATGTCTTTTGAAGGATCCCTTGTACACCATTGAGTACATCGAGGCTACCCTTTTCAACCAGCACGTCTTGATCTACTTCCTCGTCTTTTTGTGTTGGCAGCTCGTCAGAGTCGAGATCCGACCAGCCTTGGTGCCCATGGCCGCAACCGACCCAACCTAGAAGCAATGGCCTCCAACCTAAGAGCGATGGCCTCCACAGTGTCATGGCTTGTTGAACATGTTCGTTTAAAGGCAATATTGGAAAAACATTCTCATTGCTCCAACCCAGACCAAGCCTTTTGAGGTATGTTGAAACTGGGAAACAAATCTCCCAGCCTACGAAGTAGAAATCATCCAACCTAATAGCGTTGGCCTCCAAACCTGATGGTGATGCAAAGACTTCGGAGAAATCCAATTCGACCTCAGGTACTTCTTCAACCAGTTCTTTCTGATGCGATGGCGAACGGGCAGTTTCATCAAGGGCCTCTCATATGGCTGGACTGCTGGATCGCTGGCAGGCGAGAACCGGTTCCAACCGAGTCGCTTTGTGACGCCTCAGATCCAAACCGGTGCCACGCTAGTAGTAACAGGTGCCTTACTAGTAGTAACAATAAGAATTTAATTAGAATTCTAATTAATAGCTTCTTCTTACTACTAGTAAGGCACTTCTTACTACTAGCAAAGGAATCTACTAGGACCTTTTCGCGCGCGCGCGCGCGCGCGCGGGGGGGGG